ATGTCTCCTTTTTTTGGTATTTTCACGCAAATTCTTCTGCTAATTGGGGTTTAGTCCAATTCTGTATCCTTCCCTTCAAGGCTCAGGGGTCCAAGATTTTCTTCTGTGTCTGTGTTAATTGGTTTCCCTTTTCTTTGTTGAAGAGGGTCTGTGCAATCCTTCTGCCTAGTCCGCCATCTTGCCGGAATTCGATATGCAACATTTTATTAATCCCAGACTGAAATGGTCTCTGTCAACAATTTTAACAATCCATATTTCTTTTGAACCATTGAACATATTATCATACAAATATTTATTTTAAAAGGTGATGGTGATGATGATGATGATGATGCAGAAGATGAAAATAGCATTGATAACAGAGCTAATTCAGATGAACCGTCTGCAAAACGGCCAGAACCACCATCTTAATAGCATTGATAACAGAGCTAATTCAGATGGACCATCTGCAAAACGGCCAACCACCATCTTAATAACATTGATAACAGCTAATTCAGATGGACTGTCTGCAAAACGGCCAGAACCACCATCTTAATAACTCTTAGGAAATTTAAACGACTACTATTGTCCTAATTATCACACACTATCACTTCATGAAGACTTGTACTCTAATTTGGAAAAGCATCTCTTTTGTCCCTTGAGGACAATTTCATCAAAGAAAAACTTTCTTCTGTTCACAGCAAGAAGAGATACAATAAATGTCTAGAAATAAATCTGTTTTCTTGAGTGAAAAATTTCAGACCATGGAAATAAAATAGAATCATTGAATTAAGTTGTGTGAAGTCTGTATTTTTTAGCTTCTGCCTCTGTTATAAAAAATATTTAACATTTCAAGAACTCACATGAGCAAGTGGTAGAAATTTGGTATTAAAGAAGAGTGGTGGCTCTTTACAAGTAGAAGAAAAATTAGGGAATAGAGGGAAATACTGAAGAGAAAGGAGATCGGTTGAGAGACCCAAGCAAACCTAAATCCACACTCAGACCCAGTATTCAGACGTCCAGAAATTATACCACTCAATAAATCTGTATGAATCTTCTGATTTCACTTGCATCTTAAGAGGGACAGATGGAAGGGCTTAAGTTAACAATCTGTTGACTATAGCTGAAATACTTTCTTTCCTCTTGTAACCGAGTTTGCTTGATAGGACTGTTGTTGCCTTTTAAAACTATATAAAAAAACAAACATTCACTGCCATCAAGTCGATTGCAACTCATAGCGACTCCTCCTTGGGTTTCCGAGGTGGTATCGCTACAGAAGTGGATTGCCCAATCTTCCTTCCAAGGAGTGGCTGGTGGGTTTGAGCCACCAGCCTTCTGGTTAGCAGTCAGATGCCTTAGGCACTATACTACCAGAGCTCCTATGGTTTGAATTAGATGCACCTTAGTCTTCAAAGCGACATCTTTGCTCTTCAGCACTTTAAAGAGGTCTTTTGGAACAGATTTGCCCAGTGCAATATGACATCTGATTTCTTGCCTGCTGCTTCCATGTGTGTTGATTGTGGAACCAAGTAAAATGAAATCTTTGACAACTTCAAACTTTTTACCATGTATCATGATGTTGCTTATTGGTCCAGTTGTGAGGATTTTTGTTTTATGTTGAGATGTAATACATATTGAATATCCCTAAAATATAATACATATTGAATATCCTTAAAGGTTGTGCAATCTACTTCCATAGTGATACCGCCTTGGAAACCCAAGGAGGGGTCGCTGTGAGTCGGGTACGACTCAACGGCACATAACAACAACAACAACAACAAAATACAGTATATAATGAATATATCTACTTTCTAGTATGATTAAGACATTTTGATTTACTGTATATCTTTCCTGATTCATTTAGATAGCTAAAATGCAAATAGTCATAAATTTTTTAGTTGGAAGTAACCTTACAAATTAGGGTTTATTTCAGAAATAAACTGAATGTCAGATATTTGCTCTGAGTTAACATGACTCACCATTGGCAGAACTGAGTTACATACATAGCCTTTTGTCATGTTTTTTTTAAGATGATAAAGAGAAATTAGTCATGTGGTTAGAAATGATCTTGCTTAATTAATGATAATGTCTTAATATTGAGACTTCAACTCAGTTTCTGATTATTACGATCTTTTTTATCTTTATACAATCCTTAAGGAAAAAAAAAAACTTAACCTGTATAGAATTGAAGCAGATCATACTTTGCTCCCTGGACATTTTTTGTTTCCTTCTTTGTTTAGTAAATATATTTGTAAAGGAGAAATTTCAACATAATATTTGTGCTTGTGGCCCAGTTTGAGATTCTGGATTATAGGTTTCGTTGATCTTTTCCTTAATTTTAATACTGATTTTGATTCTAATATTGTCTTCTTCATAAGTGGGCTACATACATGATGAAAATGATTAGTTTGAAGAACCAGTATAAAAGACATACCTGGTTTTCTAATCTGTTGCCTTCTAATGGTACAGACTTTAGCCACAGGCAAGCAGGACACAGTTAATCACTGAAACAACTCCAACTTTTCTACAGGAAAGTGTCAACTCTACAATCCTACCTAAAAATAAGCCATGGAATTTGGCACCAAAACTAAAACCAAACCCCCGGCTATCGAGTCAGTTCCAACTGACAGCAACCCCCATTGGGTTTCCAAGGGGGTAAATCTTTACTGAAGTAGATTGCCCAGTCTTGCTTCCCTTAGCAGCCTTCTGGTTAGCAGTCAGATGCCTTAGGCACTGTGCTACCACAGGTACTGGAGTTTGGCACTAGCCTTAGATAAATCTTAAAATGTGAAGCATACAGATTGTGTGCAAGATGTCTGAAAGGTATGCTTTTGTGTCATAGTAAGAGCAGGATTCTGTGTCCAGGGTCAAGGTGAATTTTTACTCTTACAGGTGTGGTTACTTGGCTGTAATATTAGGAAGCTTAAAAATCATCTGCGGAGAAAAAGGGGGGAAAAAAAGGTAGAAGATTTATTCGACAACTAGTCTTTCAAATCCTGGACCAAGTGTCCTCTTTGTCTAGGTCTTCTCGTTTTGTTTAGGTTTCAATTTAAACATTCCCTCCAGGAGGCCTTTCTTCCTAGACAAGGTTAGGTCCTGTTTCTAAGGTACCTGTTGTTGTTATGTGCTGTCGAGTCGGATCTGACTCATGACGACCCCCTCCTTGGGTTGTCGAGGCAGTCTCACTACAGAAGTAGATTGTCCAACCTTCCTTCCAAGGAGTGGCTGGTGGATTTGAACCGCTAGCCTTCTGGTTAGCAGTCAAGTGCCTTAGGCACTGTACTACCGGAGCTCCTAAGGTACCTAGTGCCCTGTATTTCCCCTCTCAAAATATGAAATGTACTTTATTAGAAGTGTTTTTCAGCTAACCAGAATTGTTATTACTTTTTTTTTTTTTTGCCACCCTGCAGTGGAAAGAAACTAAGTTTGTATTTCCTCCCAAATGAGAAAAACAGTTGGAGATGTCTGTGGCCCTCAGTTTCTTATCGGTACTATTTATCTAGTCCTTCCTTGGCCTCATAAAGAGCCATCTCTTTCACAGTGGAGCGCTTAATCTGTACCATTACAGAATATAATTTTGTATGTAATTTATTGGCATAAGATAAATACATTAGTCATCCTATAAACCTAGGGTTTAACTCAATTCTGGTGGCGCACTGCCTAAGGCACTTGACTGCTAACCAGAAGGCTGGCGGTTCAAACCCACCAGCCAATCTAAAAAAGGAAGGTTGGTCAGTCTACTTCCGTAGGGATACTGCCTCTGAAACCCAAGGAAGGGTCGCTATGAATCGGATCTGCCTCGATGGCAGTGAGTTGTTTGTTGTTATATTGTGATAAAATGTTTACAAACAACTAAAAAAATTGGTAGTTGAATGTCCCCAAAGCTCAAAGCTCAAAGCTGCTGGTGATAGGTATAGACTGACCATGTTTGGGGACATTTAGTTGCACTACAATAACTTTATGATAATTATTTCTTGGATATTTAAGTATAAGAGTAAAGTGTAAAATTCTTGGAGAGATTGAGGAATATTTTTTTATAGTCTCAGAGTGAGGCAGGCTTTCCTAAGCAAGACTTTTAAAAATCCATAAACCATAATAGAAAAGATTAGGAAAGGTGATTACATAATGAACAATTGTGTATAACCCAACATTCTGTAAATACAAAAGGAGAGGGAAAAAGTGTTTTCAGCACAAATGAAAATTTTTGTATGTACTAGTTGCTGTCCTATCCTACTTCCGTAGTGATACTGCCTCGGAAACCCAAGGAGGGGTCACTATGAGTCGGGGCCGACTCGACGGCACATAACAACAGTTGCTGTCCAGTTGACACCTATGTCAGAGTAGAACTGTACTCCATAGGGTTTTCAGTGGTTGGTTTTTCAGACCACCAGGCCTTTCTGCCCAGGCGCCTTTCAGGTAGCACCTGAGCACATTAACTGTTTCTGTCACCACCCAGAGCCTCCAGAGCTCTTGTGTGCCAGTCAGAAAAAGACAACCGAAATGGGCAAAGGACAGGAACAGCAAGATGACAACAGGAAAAGACACAGACTTTTAAATGGGAAAAAACAAAAAGTGCCCCACTTCAAAGATAAAGAAATTAAAACCACAATGAGATTAATACTTGTCACTTTTGAGACCAAAAGATCATAAGTTTGATGCAGTTTTGAGTTGGAAAGGATGTGAGGTTTGTAGTATATTTCTGGTGAGAGTAAATTGGTATAAGTGCTTTGAAAGTCAAGTTGATAATTTTGTTAAGATGTTTAATGTACATGCTCTTTGACTCACAATTTCATGTATAGGAATTTATCCTGCAGATAATAATTTGTCAAAGATCTATTTACAAGACTTCATTGCAGCATTACTCTTAATAACAAAAGATTCACTCTAAAGTCCATCAGTAGAAGAACTCAATTAGATAAAAATAGAGGAACATTAATGATACCATGTAGCCGTTAAAATAAACAAGGTAGAGGCCTATGTGTTGTTAAGGCTCCATCTCTAGGATATATATATAGTGTTAAATGAAAGCTCGCAAGGCACAGACCAGTGTGTAGATGCTACTGTTGGAGACTTAAGCTAGAACTACCTACATAGTGTCTGCAGGGAGAATCCAGCTGCCCTGGGAAGATGGAGGAAGGATCAGGAGTGAGGGAGATTTTTCACTGTATTCCTTGGCATTCTTTAAAATTGTGTATATATTTTTCTACACAATTACAGAAAATGTTATTATGAGACCTTCAAACAATATTTAGTTTGTGAAAGTCATGCTGTTGAAATTAAGGGCAGACCAGCCCTTAATAAATTAACCTTTTAAAACTGTGTCTTGTGAGTAGTTCAGAGGAAGAAAAGTATTCAATCCAGACATAAAACATCCACATTTCCCTTCTGACCTTTGTCAGAAGGGGACTTCCAGAGAGGAGTGCTGGGCTACA